AAAAAAAAAAAAAAAAAATTAAAAGCTGAGTGTGTAAATTAAAATAAAAGGCTTAGATAAACAGAGGTTAAACAAATTAAGTGTTTTAAGTTGAGCTTCCTACCGGATTGATGTCGATGGTTGTCTCGTGATACTCCTTTTTAGGCACCATGCCAAACACATCATTTACAAATTTCTCATCTGCCTGGTAGAAGTGTGGTGAAGACATTATGATGGGAGCTCCTAAACACAGAAAACAAATTCAGAAAATCAACAGTAGTGGCAAAAGTCCAGGTCCTGGTTCAACATTTGTCATGTACCTTGTTTGCACACGCTGACATTCAGCAGGCCAGAGCCCAGGCAGTTTCCAGCAGGTACACAGAAGCCGGCGTTTGCTGGGTTCACGGTCAGATTGGCAAAAACCTCACTGGGGGGAACGAAGCGATACCCGTGGACCCCCTTCATGGTCACATCCTCCTCATACAGGGCGTAAAGAGACCTTGCAAACAGAGTCAGATGCTGGTTAATCTTTGCAGGCACAAATAAATTCTATGAGGCTGAAAGTGCAACAAAAGTGTGTGTGGGGGGGGGGGGGACATGCTACACTCAGTTCTGATGCATGAAAAGTGAAAGAGGGCCAATATTAGTTTCTTTCAGCAGCTCTAAATAGGTATCAACAGAACAGTGACCTCATTAAAGAGGCTAATTCTGACCAGCCACGCAACCAGCCAGGCTAAACTGATGGCCTTAATCCAGACCTGAATAATACAAGGGGAGCGATTTAGGGAGACATTCTCAGAATGACTGAGAGTGAAGCTCAATCCAGGTAGAAATGGAATACCAGAAAAATTATATTCAGCAATAGAGCTGTTATTCTGAAGCCAGCTGAGTCAGGTGTCCACACTGTAATACCCACCTGCACAGTTCGGGGGAGAACATGTAGAGAGCCTCATTCTTAGTGATGACTGGGTGGAAAAACGCTCCGTTGGTTCCATTGATCATATTGCACTCATCAGACGTCCACCAATTCAACGAGCTGCGGACACAAATAACTGAAAAGTTTTCTTAAATCAAAATTAAACATTTCATCACTTTCTGTTTTGCAGAGAAATAGCTTTTAAAACTGTGTCAGCTAGATATTAAGTTATGTGAAGCTTAGCCAAAGCTGCTGGTGCTTTTGCTGAACAGACGTCCTTTGTATGTTGAAGGAATAGTTCAATATTTTGGTCTTTGTGCTGAGCTTTACTAGCCACCCGCAGGTTCGTTTTTAAATGACAGATAAGAGTCAGAAGAATCTGAAACACATGTGAGAGACTGAGATGAAAGAAAGATCTGCAAACAGAGACAATGAACACTGCTGTGAACCTTTGACATTAAAAACTCTGGGGACACTGTGAAAAACCTGATGAGCGTAAATAATCATTTCATTGACTGATTTGACAAAGAAATTGAAGAACTATCAGGAAACTCTCTCACTCACAAACTCACTCTGTGATCTCTTAATCTCATCAAACAGTGAGACGAGCCTTGATCACATTCATGTCTGATACAATCAGGTGCTCACCACACATCTAAATTCCATGTAATCAATGATTCCTATTGTTTGTATAGAGTGATAGATGATTCTATTACTTGTTATTCTATTGTTTCCTGAAGGAGAGTGGATCGAGTGATTACCTTTCCCCGTTCCACGTGTCAACTCTAGAAAAGTCCTTGTAGTTTTGCCGTCCGGTGAAGAACACATATTCACCATCGTTGGAGGCATTGCTCTAGAAAAAAAAGAAGAAGAAAACCAAAAAGCCAAGAGTGAATAGCTGGTCTCATTGTTTAAAACAATTAAACAGAAAGTACTTTGAATGAATGTCTGTGAAATTATTCTGATTTCTTTTGTATACAATAATATACTGAAACCTTATAGAAGAGCCCGAAAACATTATCCACTTCAGGTTTGAAAGTGTGGAGGGCTTTGAGCAGAGGGTCCTCATATCCCCACAGCAGCTCCCCCACTGTGCGGGTGGTGAACAGTCCTTCACCAGTGGACTTCATGTAGGATGAGACCAGATTGGCTTCAATAAAACTGTCCTTGACCTTCTCCATCACCGTCTACGAGGAGGGAAGAAGAAGAGGCGTAGAGTTCAAAAAATATTACTAATATTATGCTGTAATGTATTAACATATTATCTAGATACACTGATTTCTGCAGCTCACCAGGGCAGGGATGTTGACTGTCCGGATGAGGTCACTCTCTGGACCTCGGGACATGTTCAGCTGGAATATGTAGGTTTTAGTGTTGACTGAAGTTAATTTTGTGTCGTTATCCAGGAAGTTTATTTGCTCCATAGGTCGATACTCCCTGTGTGGAAAAACAGGACAGTCAACTGGGTGACGTTTGAAATGATAACCAGCTCATTGCTGCTGCTCTACATTAGCACCACATGACATTTTCCATGATCAAGAATCTCATATATACTTTACCAACACCATCTGCACATCAGACTATAGAGAAAAGACCTTGTGTCTCCATATTTTGTCATTACCTCCACCAAGGAGGTTTTGTTTTCTTCTGCATTTGTTTGTATAAAGGGGACTAATATTTATGAGTGTGTACAGTTTGGTTCAGATCCAAATAAAAATATGGATCTAGCGAATTCAAATGATGTTTCGTGAGGGGAAGACATGTGTCGAGCATTGGCAGCGGAATGCATTCTACTGAGTGCCATTCTATTTTTTACTAAATCAATCTGTCTGTGGATTAGACAGATATTGAACCAATGAAAAATGTTAACAAGATCTTGTGACAAAATCTTACAGTGTTGGCTTTTTCAGAAAAGACAGTGTTTTTCCATGATATTGCATATATCTCATTTAACTATAGAGCAGTGGCAGCTGTTTCCTTTAAATTATATTCCTCACTGCTTCAACGATTGTTGAGCAATAGTGACAGCTTCCATCCACACTGATTTACTGATGTGACAGTTTAGCTTCCTTTGTTCATTTTAGTTCGGAGGCGGCATCTTGAGTGCACTAGTTTTTACTTCTCCTCCTCTGGGACCGAGCGTCTTTGTTCCTACTGAAACGTCTGCACTTCTGTTTTATCGAATAGATGAACAGTGAACCAAAACTGAAGCCATGCTCCTCTTCCACTTTCACCTGTATGTATATGGTCCAATCTCCACCACAGCAGGTCTGTCCCCATCCAGCACCTCCATGGGATTGGTCAGATTAAAGAAGTAAAACTGCATGTAGATCGGTGCTGGTGGATTCTCCCAGGCCTTAAACGCTTCTGTTCCATTCTCAAGAACCACATCCTATAGGGGACAAAGGTCACTGGGTTAATTTTATTGTGAAAATGTGCACAACAGAAGAACATCTTGTGCTGACTAAGGTGTCCTCACATCTTATGACACATTCGTCATATGATGACGGGGCCATTGCTGCCCTGTGTCACATTTTGTTCAGATAGAAAGAGTTGGCTCACAAAACTAACACCAGTGAAAGTTCTTGATATTTTTTAACTCTCTATCTCAATCTCAAAACTACCTTATCTCAAAAAGTCGTGTTTGGTTCAGTTTGTGGTTTAAACATTGATATCTTGAACAGTATTTATGTTAGATAGTGAACTTTAGAGGTTGAAAGACTAAAGTGTTCTGGGTATGACTGAACCATTAAAAGGTTGTACTGCAGCGAACCTATTGGTTTTGTGTAAAACTGGAGATTGAGAATGTGAGATTGACATCAGGAGCAAAATAAATATATTTATATGGCACCAACATGAGACCACACCCTGTGTTACTCATGATTTCTTTGTGTCCACTGGTGGTGGAGTCCTCAGATATAAAAGATATATTTGCTGAAAATATTTTAACAATTGCTGTCAATTGTTTCTATCAGCAGCAGTGTTTTAATCATGGGGTTTACAGTTAGTATTAATGATAGGTATAAAGCACATGAATTATCCATGGATATTTATAAACATATATAGGATGGGTCATTTCATTTCAGTTTAAATTAAAATCAGCTCTTTTACAGTATGTTGTCTGTTGATTGGTGAGATCAATATTTATCAATTAACTACATAGATTAAAGTTCACATGCATAATGAATCCTCCTCCCTGTAGTTTCTGATCAAGTTTTCCACATGTTCAGCTCAATGAGTCTGGAACTCATTTGTACGTGAGTCACAGGTGAAACATTCAGCTTTACACACAACTCGGAGCTCAGAACCTGCTCAGCCACATTTTTCATCAAAGTGGAACATGAAAACTGAGTCAGCGTCTCTGTTATTTTGCCAAATACGATCTAAGTGCACCAACATTAGCTCGCACCTAAACATCTGTTTGCTGTGATTATCTCGTGTTGTCTGAATGTTTGAATGTGAGCCTGAAAACTGCGACACTCACCTTCTCAACCATCGACTGAACAAAACGTGGAAACACGTTAGAAAGCACCAAAGCGATTCCAGCGATTAAAAACAACATAGAAAAGACTCCGGTGCTGTAGATGCAACATGATTTGAGAAGCATGATGAGACAGCAGGACGATCAGCGACACACACACACACAGGTTTCTGTAAGCGCTTCGTCTGTGTCTGTGTCTGTGTGTGTGTGTGTGTGTGTGTGTGTCTGTTTGTTTTGATCCCAGGAACTTGCTCGACGAAGCAAAGACAGACTTCCGGTACGAAACACTCCCTCTACACCACTTCCGGTTTCCTCGACAGTCGCCCGCTCTCTGATGCATGAAGTAAACCACGATCACACGTCATACGATGTTTTTTAAATGCAACATGTAAGTTGTGTGATGTTAGCATGTTACCGGGCTCTGACACACAGCTGCAGTTAGATAACGTGATCGTTTTCTCCATAAGCGGCTTGTTTCAGACTAAATGCAGGATTATATCTATCTTGCACAGAAACGATCTTTGTTTTCGATCACATGACAATAACCTCAGTAATCAGACCTCAGTCGACCCTTTTCTGGACTAGATTATTTCAAGGCTAAAACCCATAGATATACATACATAAGACTAAAGTATGTTTGCATGGGATGAACATCAGGCTTTAATTCACTAAAACAAGAATTGAAAACAAGAATTGATCTGAAATATGTGGAGCTACTTTTACAACATTGTATTACCCATTAAATACAAATTCTATTAAGTATATAAGTACATTTTATGTTTCACGAATTATTAACTGTAGCTATTTAACTGATTGTTCCTTAATCTCCTATTTTCTTTATTATTTTCCATCTGCATGACATCATCGTAAATATGCCCACCATGTTTAAATACATTTTCCACTAGATGTCGCTGTCTCATCATTCAGTTCATGATGCAGCCTCCTACCTGCTCTGCTGCTCTATAAACTGGAGTCATTGCACTTGTTGACTCATAATTTCATATAAAACTGGTTACACCTCACCTAAGATGAATAACCAGTGATATGTGTGTTTGTGTCACTGTCATTTCCCTTTCCCTGGCTCAATACTAATCATACAAATATTATGATATCTGCCAGGTTACTGTTTGTATTAGACAAGCTGTACATGAATGATACTCAATAAAGTGGTCCAATTATTCAATAGACAAAATTAGAACATTAACTTTGAATGAATAGTTTGGGTTTTGTGACACTCAAACAGTGAGGGAGCCTGGGTTGATTATCTCAGCTTCCCAAATAACATCCGTGTTACAACACTACAGCTCAGACACGTTCTTACCTGCATTAATATGTTTCATTGCAGAACTGTTGAGACATCAGCCCATAAAAATCAACACAACTTGTCTGACTGGCAGAGTTTCTCAACTTTACAGAGGACAAACACTGATTTTACTCACCAAGGCCGGGTATCATGTTTCTGGTAAGACAGTCTGTAGAAACTACTAATTAATGTCTCCTGTGGATCTGGAGGAGCTCTGTCAAGTCTGAGATGCATTGTGGGAAATGTAGGATCTGAAGAAATGGCTCAAAACCAGGACAACTACACACAACAACAACAACAAAACTATAAACAACTCAAAACAACGACATAGAGGCACAAAACCACTTGACCCGAGAAAACCAACCAGAAGTGGCAAAAACTACAAATGGACTCAAACAAGTCTGTCCCCTTTGTCCCATAAGGAGCTTCTTACTTTCACATGAAAGTTTGTTGCACGAGTATTTGTAACATATATGAGTTTTTCGATAGAGTGGGATATTTGGGGGGTTCTGATCCAAACATGCAGGTTGTGGTGAATAAACAGTAAACGTCTTGAAATGGTTTCTACACTTGTAGATTCTAATGATCTCTGTCCTGAACGTGTCGGTTTGTGGGAAATGTCCCTTTAACCAGAACATGAATGGAGGAACACTGGAGGTCACGAGAGCTCCGGGGGGAGTGACGTCACTTTCCTAAACCGGGCAACGGCCGCTGAGGGAGAGAGAGAGAGAGAGAGAGAGAGTGTGTGTGTGT